TCTCTCTCTCTCTCTCTCTCTCTCTCTCTCTCTCTCTCTCTCTCTCTCGCTCTGTGTGTCGCGACCTCGCTGTGCTGTTGCATTGAGAAAAGCGGCGAAGCGGCTGAAGCAAATTTCCTCGGTTTCCTCTCTTAGTTGCATTGAACACACGGTCTGCCACGTTTGCCCGCGCCCCCGCCCAACGCTCATCCAGATGCGACAAGCTTTAGGGGTCGGTCATGTCCGAGGCCTCCTTCTTCACGGTCCGCCCGGCTGCGGAAAGACGCTGCTGGCCAGGGAACTGAGCCGGCGCCTGGGGGCGAGGCCTCCGAAGCTCGTGAGCGGACCGGAGATCTTGGACAAGTGGGTCGGAGAGGCCGAACGCAAGGTGCGGCTTCTCTTCCTCGACGCGGAGCTGGACCACGAACGGTGAAGTTTTGGCTGGTTTTTGGTCGGTTGTGGCGCGGTACTTTGCTGGGAGTGAACATTTTCCGCTCTAGGACGGGAGAGCGATGATTTTTTTTGTCGGGGGGTATGTGCTTGAGTGTTTGTGCAGCATGGCACAGCAGTAGATAACATGCGTTTTCCCTCCTGCAGTGTCGCTTTCGGCACCACGGCAACTTGGCGTAGCAACCAACCGAGGTTGTCGTAGCGAAAACGGGGTTGGTCTTGTGCAGGTATTCATCTGAGCCATCGGAAAGATATGCGTTCGTTTTTGGAACCATGGGAAAAGTCTCTTGTGCGTCCTTGACGTTGCTGTAAACTCCCGTCAGGTGCGTTCAGATGGGAGAGGATCCAGCTGGTCTACCGCTAAACCTGATTTGCTTCGACGAGATCGACGCTCTCTGCCGTAGCAGGGGCTCTCTCTCGGGAGACACATCGGGTGTGCGAGACAGCGTCGTCAACCAGGCAAGGCAGATCAAGAGAAGGGGCGGGGGGGTTGAAGTGGTTTCGAGCCTGATTTTGTGTGTGCTGAGTTGCAGCCTGCTTTCACGTAGGTTTGTGAAAAGAACCGGCTTTTCTTGCATCGGATGCCGAGGAAAAACTGCGATGATCGACCATGGTAGTACGGAGGCAAGGAGGAGTTGTGGGTGGAATAATGAAACCCGCTACATATTTTGAAAGCGCTATCGTGTACCCACCCGGATCCCAGAGGTGCAAACCTCGTTGTGCGGACGGAGGTCATGAAGGTCCTCTGTTTTTTTTTTTGCATTTCATTTTATTTTCATGTATTTTCTGCTCGGAGGTGCTTCAGATTTTGAGCAAGATGGACGGCCTTGTCAACCTCCAAAACGTTCTGGTGGTGGGCATGACCAACCGGAAGGAGCTCCTCGACGAGGCGTTGCTGCGGCCGGGGAGAATGGAGGTGAACCCACAACCTCTGCGGGTCTGCTTTTCCAGCCAACCAAGGATGGAACTCGTTCCTCTTGTCGTCGCTACCACTCGTGTATTCTGTCGTCCAATTCTGTCTTGTACATGTCGATGGAAATCTCATAGATTTTCTTGTTGACGACAAGGAAGTCCCTGTCAGATGCGCCGTTCACATGGGATCAGATGCGTTTTTCGGAATTAGTTGTTGGGGTTGGTTCCGACTCTGGTTTTCGTCTTTCCTCCCTTTTCCACGTGAATGTTCGTGGCCAACTACCACAATCATCTCTACAAACACCCCGGGGGTGCGACGCACGCTATTGTTACGTGAGAAGGCACGTCCGTTTGAACGACAAACGAACGATTACCCAGTGGGCGCAATCAAACTATTTGGGTTTCAAAGCCGGCAGCACATTTTGGGGGCAAGGGGGGGGTGCCCTCAAAAGTGTTACGGCGATTTTTCCTGGCATTGGTCATGGAACAAACGATCTGGACCGAGAACCTCAAACATTCGTTTCCCTCCCTCCCTGCCCCCCCAAAATACAAATTCTTTGTTTCCCTTCCCTTCAACTTCGCCCTCTCTCTCGCTCTCTTGACATGTTTATATCGCAGGTGTGCATGCCCATCCCGCTGCCAGACGATGCCGGCAGGGAGCAGATCCTCGCGATTCACCTGAGAAAAGCCAGGGAAGCCGGCCTCGTCTCCCCAGAGGTCACCGACGCCGCCCTCGGCAAGAAGACCGGCGGCTTCAGCGGCGCGGACCTGGCGG